CCCTCCCCCACCTCCACCTAGCACAGACCCTGGGTCTTTCTGAGTCAGAAAGATTGGGACATAGGGTGGGGAGCAGCAGCTGGGAGACGGGGAGGGGGGAAGATTTCAGAGTGGAGGAACCACAGGGGAAAAGGGGGGCGACTTGACTGAGCAGGAGGCAAAGGAGGAGAGAGAAACAGAAGGCCCTGGGTGGGGGGAGGACACTGCACAGAAGGAAGCCCACCGCAGTGTGGCCACAGTGGCCAAATGTCGGAAACAACCCAACTGTCCATCACCAGGAGGTTGGGGAAAGAAATCGGGGTCCACAGATATGGCAGAACACTCTCCAGCAACCTTTTCATTGAATGACCTAGAGATACCTGTAGCAAACCTGAATTAATCTCAGCAACATGAAATTGAGTAAAAAACACCACCAACGAAAAGTTAAAGCAAGGAGCAGAGGATACTTTTCATTTAAAGTTTCAAGATACCCATGCAATACTAAATGATTAAGAGTGTAAGGCTTACTTGGGAAGGCTACCTACCAGCTTCAGAAAACTGGCTACCTCTGCAAGAGAAGGATGGAGGGAGGGAGAAGGGATATGGAAGAACCTCAACTAGATCAGCAACCATTTTTAAGCTTTTTATTTTTATTTTTAAGCATGAAGAAAGATGCACAAGTATAAGAAAGCGTAAGTATACATCAGCCTAATTAATTTTCACAAAGTGAACACACCCATGTAACCACACCCCCAATTCAAAAAACACAGAACATTCCCAGACCCTCAGGAACTCCCGTGTGCCCCCTCCCAGTCACTCCCCCACCTAGAGTAGCCCCATTAATTTGACTGGTTTTTGAATTTCAGATAAACGGAATCATACTGTGTGTTTTCTCGTCTTGCTTTTGTGCCCAACATTCTGTTTGTGAAATGTCTCCCTGTTGCTGTGTGCGGCAATAGTTGGTTCATTCTTATTGCCAAGTCCTGGCCCGTGTATCAGAATCCCGGGATTTATTCACCTGTTCCACTCTTGATGGCTATTGAGAATAGTGCTGCTAACAACATTCTAGCGTTCTTCCCACACTTCTGGCATTTACCCTAAGGAGATGTACGCACATTACCACTCAAAAGAAAAAAGAACATTCTAGTGTATGTCTTTTGGTAAACACAGATGTGTATGTAGTCTGATGGTATATACTTAGGAGTAGAGCTGCTGTGTGATGCTGGTAAAGTTTTATTCCTCAATAACTAAAAAAAGTGTTTTAGGAGAAAGAAGTAAGACTCAAGCAGGCAGATGAATGGAAACATAAAACCTCTGGGCCTAGATGTGTTGGGACTATGGGAACAAGGAGACTAATGTTTCTAGACACACCACCCTCCCCCCCACCGAGTACCAGGCCTGGTGGTAGGAGCTAGCTCACCCACTAGCCCACTTCATCCCCACAACAGGAAGGCAGGTGCCCTGGGAAGGAGCATCTGCTTTGGAGTAGGAAGACCTGAGGGCACGTCCTTGCTGCACCACCTCCTACCTGTGTGACCTGGGGTAGGTTGCCCGACCTCTCTGAGCCTCCAGTTCCTCACCTGCCAAATGAGAAGGGCCACCAGGCCTGGGGTGATAACGCTGAACAGCACGAGAGTCAAGTGCCTGGCACACAGCAGGCATTTAATACGTATCAACTGCAGTTGTGTGTATGATTTGCAGTTTTATGAGGTTGGTATTCTTCATTTTTAGGGGAGGAAACTGGGGCTCACAAAAAGGGAAATGAGCACTTATGGAAAGCCCTTGATGAACAGGTCCCCGAGCCAGAAGCTTTGCCCATGCTTTTCCATGCTGTCCTTCCCCACCCCACCCTAGGAGGTGATCTCCCAATTTTGTGCACGAGGAAACTGAGGCTCAGACAGCACGTAACTTGCCCAGGTCACACTGCTAGTGACGGAGGCTGAAGTTCAACCCAAGGCTGCCTCACCCCAGCCCCTGTGCTCTTAACCACGGCCTCGCTGGTTTCGGGCCTGCTTCTTGCCACAGCCAAAGCCCCTGGCCCTGGCCCATTTGAAGAAACAAGGACGGAAACAGGACCCCCCTGCCTGTTCCCTCTCACTCGCCTCAGGAGCCAAGGGCAGCTCTTTGAACCTTCTCACAGAGCTCCGGCACCAGAAGGAAGGGCTTTGGGCTGGCTGCTTTGATTTCGAGGTGTTTGTTCTGTATCTTTCTTTGGTGAGGCCTTGTTTTCCTCACTAAAATGCCCTTTAGGGGAGGACAAGACAGGTTGTTTGCCTCCCTTGGGCCCCCTCATGACTCACAGGGTGCTGAGAACTGAGCTGGCCTGGAGACTAAACTGAAACAAAAGCCAAAGCATTTCCCAGGGAAATCCCTCTGGGAAAGCGAGTCTGTGTGTGAGGTTTGGAGGCCGCAGCAGGAAGGTGATGGGAAAAGGATTCAGTGGGTGTGACAGCCAGCCAGAAAAGAGCCAGAGAAGCCCAGTGGAGGTCACCTCCCTCTATCTCCCCACCGCAGAAATCCCTTCTTTTGTTCTCACCCCACACTAAACCTCTGTAGGAAGGATGGGAAGCAGGCCTGAGGGGCTGGTCATGGCCCAGCTGGGCTTATGCAAGGACCTGCCAACTCCAGGCCAGGCCCAGGCCTGTCCACACACCCTGACTCCCACCAGAGCTGACTCTCCATAGAAGATAAATCGGATCACACCACCAAGGGCTTCCTTTCTCCCAAACTGACTCCTTCTCGGGAACCCACAGCAGGCAGTACGGCTTTAAACACCCCCACGAGCTTCTTCCCTGTCCTCACTGAAGTGGCTCTGGTTGGAATCCTGCTTCATCACTTACCAGCTGTTTAAGCCTGGGCACGTGACTTAATCTCTCTATGCCTCAGTTTCCTCCTCTGTAAAATGGAGATAATAGTACTATCCATCTCATAGGATTATTGTGGAGATGAAATGAGTCTATGCCTGGCATGTGGGACGACTCAACTGTTAGCTGCTGTTACTTTATTCTTATTGTCAGTACTATTGCTACACTGGAAAGGACACTGGGTAGCCACGTATATGGCACATGGAGTCCTCTCCCCAACAATTCCACACCTAGATATCCGCAAGGTTCCAGCAGGACCTAAGTATGCCTGTCACATCCACCCAGTAGGGCAAATACAAAGGATCTGGACAGGTATCACTAACATGACAACTACTTCTGGCTATTAGCAACCACAGAAAAGGAATGGAATAAGTGACAGGGAACAACCCAAGAGGGAGCCTCCTCTCCCGAGACCCATTTCTTCCCAGCCCCATTGGAAAGGCTTCTCTTCCAAGAAATCCTCTCTCCCCGGACGACAGCACCAATTCCTGAAGCACCCCCAGCTCACATTCCACAGGGCATCATGTGTCTGCCCATCTCCACCTGCCTCAAGTGATTTGGGCCAGGAGAACCTTCAAGAGCCACTGCCTTCCTGCCCTCACCCCACAGCAGGGTCCTCCCTTGGTCGTGGGCTCTCCTTGAGATCTCTGAGGCGTCCCTTACCTCTCCCCACCAGCAACACACCGAGACAGACGGGAGGTGTTTTGGGGGTGGAGAGTGGGAGGGGAGATTTATTCAGATTTCCACGGGTCTCAGAGTGAGGCGTCTGCTACCAGCATCGCCCTCCCCCTTGGATCTTGGGCCTTTCCTCATCCGGACTTCCCCCACCCAACCCCAAAACACAACTCCTCCACCACCACAATTCCTCCAGTCCCTCGGGGCAAAAGACATTGAGTTTTGTTTACAATCTAATTTGTCCGGATAATTGCCTCGACTGTGCACTTCGCTTTGCCGGCGAGGATCAGGCTTCGGGCCCCTTCTTCACTGGTTCGCAGAGCACTTTATGGGAAATTCCCCTTCCGGAAAGGGAGGCAGCGCGCGCCAGGGGTGACGGTTCACAAAGGCCAGAGGAGCTTCCCCACCTCCCCCACCCGGGGTCAGAAAGCTCACCCCCAGCCCCCACGCAGTGGGGAGTAGGAGGCAGGCAAGGAGGGAGCCAGGCAGGACACCGAGCCCCCGGCCACTCCCCGCGCCGAGCGCAGCCCGCCGGGAACCAATGAACCGTGTGGGAGCAGAGCTTGGCCGTACCTCCAGACTCCAGGGAAAGGCTGAGGCTTGCACAGGGCGCCATAGGCTTGCGATGCCAGGGTGAATCCCTGCGGTCTCTCCACCTCCCGCCGCTTTCAGGTCCGCAGCCCCACGTCTTCTCCTCAGGTCCCCACTTTTCTTCCCCTGGAGTTTGGTCCACGTGGTCTCCTCTCGCTCACGGCTGGCTGCCTCGCGGGGTGAAGTGGCTGCACCTGCTTTAGGGGAATTATGGTAGCGCTAGAAGTTGGTCTCCCCTCCCTCCGCCGCTCGCTCGCTCGCTCGCTCGCTCCCTCCTCCCCGGCTCTCCGCGCGCTCCC